CAGCGTGAGATATTCCATGCAGTTTGGATATGGCTGACAGCAAAAGAGAATCGTCGGGGCGAGTCGAGGTGGTATGACTGCTTGACGTAGTTGCTGGCATATCGGCACGCGAGGCAGATGTCGAGGTATCCAATCGTTCATCCATATCGTAGTACGTTAGCTGGTGGTGAGCAGTCGAACTGCCTATCTGAAGTAAAACTTGAGTGGCAGAGCAATATAACGTACGACGAAATGTGAGAAGTATGGATAGGTGATGCTGAAGACTGCGATGGGGCTGCACGATGTGTTGAAAATGACTGCAGCGCGAGATTGCCTGATTCAGGGATGGTAACGTTCAAACAGGCATGAAATGACGTTGGCGCGCAAGATGGCAAGAGTGCGCTGAGTGATAGAATAACGATCGATATTCGAGCTGAAGACTAGAATAAACGGATTCCACTTGAACGAAGTTGGGTGATCACTGACTGGAGTTGTCGAACTGCCGAGGTTTTATATAGCGATGCGAGGACTTGGCTGCCCTTGTCGGCTGGATACGGCTGGGTTGTGACCTAGTAGTATCCGGAGGATGTTGTGTAGCGCTAATTTCCAGAGGGTAGAGATGGTTAATCGACCTCTTGACGTGATTGCCGTTAGGCAAACGAATGGTAGCGCTTCTAGGCACGCGATCGCTGGTGTAAGAGAGTTGGGTAATGACCGCTAATGTCCACTGTCCTCTGGGTAGCTGTTTATCGGCGAGCAGAACAACTTCTCCAACTTGTGGTTCGCGTGACGTTGATCGACCTTGACGGATGCGAACTGTGTGACGTTGTGCAACTGCGTTGAGGTAGTCTGTGGACCAGATGTTCCAAAAGTGGTCCAGAACAGACAAAGTGGAAAAATACCACTCGACTAGATGTTGCTGAGTGTAGTCGAGGTGAGGAGTTTCCGTTAGTTCTAGCTGGAGTTGTACTCGAGGTGAGAGGAAGTCTATAGGACGAAGTACCGTTGGCGACGATATTGTGTCCGAAATGGATGTAATGGGTCGCGAATTGACTATAGCTTCAATCTCACAGATGATCGTTTGAAATTGTTGTAGTGGAATGAGTGAGTGTCCGATGGACTTCCGGAATGAGGATTTGACGAGTGCGACAAGTCGTTCGTAGAATCCTCCTTTCCATGGGGACAACGGTGTTATAAATTTCCACTGGATGCGGCGACTGGAGGAATAGTTCGAAATGAGTTCTTGCAGGGTATGATCTGCTGCACAGAAGGTGGAAGCGTTGTCGCTTAAGATGAGGTCTGGAACGCCTCTACGAGCGATGAAACGTCGGAGTGCAAGTAAGAACTCTTGAGTCGTGTTGTCCAAAACGATCTCTAAATGGATTGCTCTCGTGGCCATACAGGTAAAGAGAGATATCCATAGCTTGGACGATGAGCTGAAGACATCCTTGTACCGAAAGGGACCAAGATAGTCCAATCCGATATTCTGGAAAGGTCTTGATCTTGTGACTCTTTCCGGTGGAAGACTAGGCATATCCGGGTAACGATAAGGTAGTCCATTGATCTTCTTGCAGATAATGCAGCGTCGAAGGACTTTGGCCACGGTGCTCCTGATAGATGGAATAAAGTAGGAACAACGAAGTGTGGCAATGGTGGCATGAACTCCCGAATGGAATTGGGAAAGGTGAATGTGACTTATAATAAGTGTCGTCAAAGGATGTGATGGAACTAGTAGTATAGTTGAAGACGTGGTGTCGAATGCATGTTCCATGCGATGCGGACAACGAATAAGGCCATCCGTTGAACGATGGGCGTTGAAGCGTTGGAGCGGCATACGACTAAGAAGGATTTCGCTTTCTCGGTAATGCTCCTTGAGCAAGAATATCTCGGCGGTAGTGAATTCTGTCGTAGAAATATCCTTGGTCAAGCTGAAGTGAGTCGCATCAAAGGTGTTGAGAGTGGCCTTGATCTTGACGGCTAGATGTGCGATGAACTTCAGAGCGTAGACTGTAGATCGTACTAGTCTATTATACCGACTAATAGACCGAAAACGAAACGGTGATGTGTACTGAGATGTTCCTGACACAGTAAGTGTCTTGTATTCGTTCTGTACTTCATCGT